GGCTTCGATTTTTAAACAATTTTTACTAGGCGTGGATTTAAAAAAAAAAATTAGGCTTCGATTTTTAAACAATTCCTAAGCGTGGATTTAAAAAAATTAGGCTTCGATTTTTAAACAATTCCTAGGCGTGGATTTAAAGAAAATAGGCATTTTTAAACAATTTTTACTAGGCGTGAATTTTTTAACAATGGCGTGGAATTTTAAACAATTTTTACTAAGCGTGGATTTAAAAAAAATAGGCATCGATTTTCAATTTTATTTCAATCAATTTTTACTAGGCGTGGATTTTTAAACAATTTTTACTAGGCTTGGATTTTTAAACAATTTTTACTAAGCGTGGATTTTTAAACAATTCTTACTAGGCGTAGATTGTTAAACATTTTTCTACGAAAGGAGTTTAAAAGCATATTTGTAGGCATGCATTTTAAAGCATTTTTCTAGGCATGCATTTTAAAGCATTCTTCTAGGCGTCGATTTTTAACGTATTTTCCTTAACGTGGATTTTTTAAAGTATTTTTGTAGGCATACATTTTTCGACTATTTTTTAGGCGTGGATTCTTAAGCCATTTTTCTAAGCTTGCTTTTTAAAACATTTTTTAAGGCGTGAATATTTCATGGCTTTTTAAAGGCGTGAATATTTTAAGGCTTTTTAAAAGCGTGGATATTTTAAAGCATTTTTGGAAGGCGTGGATATTTTAAAGCATTTTTGGAAGGCGTGGATATTTTAAAGCATTTTTGGAAGGCGTGGATATTTTAAAGCATTTTTGGAAGGCGTGGATATTTTAAAGCATTTTTGGAAGGCGTGGATATTTTAAAGCATTTTTGGAAGGCGTGGATATTTTAAAGCATTTTTGGAAGGCGTGGATATTTTAAAGCATTTTTGGAAGGCGTGGATATTTTAAAGCATTTTTGGATGGCGTGGATATTTTAAAGCATTTTTAGGCGTAGATTTTTAAGTCGATATTTTCTAGCACTTTTTCCCACTAAAATCCAATTTAAAATCTTCCCATAAAACGAGATCTCACTGTATTCGCTGTGTAACCCATAAAAATGTTTGAAAAGCAATCACTGGTCATGATTTATTCATTTGAGATCTGAAAACAATTATTTATGGAGTTAAATTTGATCTGTTGTTAATTTTTTTTTCTTGTGTATTGAACAACAACAAATTACTAATCATTAAACCGACAGTTATGTAATCATTTATAAATTCAAAATGCTGACGTTATAGTTTTGCCAAATAAAGAATGCCGCACAAACAACAACGGTGGCAGCAACAACAACAACAACACAAAATAATTTGTTGCCAAATTTGGCAAACTCAGTCTGGAATCAATCAGTCGGCAAACATAAATAAACAAAACGAAGAAATATGAAGTATTTAGAATGCAATTTTGAGAAAACGATGTAAGAAAAAAAACATAATTTATAAGTTATTCTGAAAAAAAAATAAAAAATCTAAATTTTATTTAAATTTGGAAAATAACAAAATAATGATAATAATTTAAAATTTAAAAAAGAAAATTGAAAAGTTTGATAGGCATTAAGACGTAGTGACTATCACTCAAATGTTTGTGGTCAATTTTTATACCCTACACCACAAGGTGGTCAGGGTATTATGTCTTTGTGCATTTGTTTGTAACAGGCAAAAGGAAACGAGATAGACCCATAGTTCCTTTTGATGATCTGCATAAAATCACTTTCTAAGTCGATTTATGCATGTCCGTGCGTCCGTCCGTCTGTCCATGTATTTTTGTAAACAAAGTACAGTTCGCATTTATTGCCCGATCCAGATGAAATTTTGCACATATCATTTGTTTGGCTCAAGGACGAACCCTACTGAAATTGGAGAAAATCGGTAAAAATTTAGATATAGCTCCCATATCTATCTTCGTCCGATTTGCCTTTTATTGTGTGTATGGAATTTTTCACATACAACCACATTAGGCCTGCAAATAAGTATGCCGAATTTGATCGAAATCGATTCAGATATAGCCATAGCTCCCATATGTATCTTCGTCCGATTTGCCTTTTATTGTGCACCAAACGTGTAATATCAGCCGGAATAGTATGGAATTTTGCACATACAACCAAATTAGGCCTGAAAATAATTCTGCCAAATTTGATCGAAATCGGTTCAGATATAGCTATAGCTCCCATATATATTGTTCATCAGATTTGTTATTTTGTGTCCTCCGCAGCCGTAGTATGCACTCTGCAACAACAATATTTGGGGAAATACATCAAATACAGCTCAGAAATATTTTTGCAAAATTTTATCGAGTTCGGTTCCGATTTGGATGTAGCTCCCATATATAACTTCGTCCGATTTACATTTTATTGTGCACCAAACGTCTAATATTTGTCCAAATGGGATGGAATTTGACACTTACGATCGAATTTAGTCTAGAAGCTAGTATGTCAAATTTGGTGAAGATCGGTTCAGATATAGCAATAGCTCCCATATATATATTTTTCATCAGATTTGTTATATATGTTACCCACAGCCGTAATATGCACTCTGTAACAACAATATTTGGGGAAATACATCAAATACAGCTCAGAAATATCTTTGGTGTAGGGTATCATAAAGTCGACCCCTACCGACTTTAAGACTTTCTTTACTGGTTTGTAACTGTATTTGAAATGGACAAACCCATAACAGGTATTTTTTTTCAATTTTACCTGTGCCTTTGTCCAAGGGATTCCCCCTGGCAAACATCTGTCCCAACAACCCCTAAAAAACAACAGCAAATACAAAAAATGTTTTTATTTCTAAATTTTCCATTTTTGTTGCGAACAACTTAATTGGGTACAAATTAACATCATCATCATCGTTCGCAGCTACACACATATCTAAATATGTTCATCTATTCACTCATTAACATTCCCTGAGAGTAATCTGTGTCTAGCGGTCGCTCATCATTAAATCTTGTTCCTTAATTGAAATTAAAACAAAAAAATCTCAAACCCAAAAAAATCTCAAATCCAAATAAGTAGTGAGAGTGCGTTCATTATGATATAATTTTCAATTGAAAAAAAAAAAATAATAATTATTTGTATCTTTCATCTCGAGATGAATATTCCTTGAAAATCTCCAAATTCAGATGAAGTGCTTGAAATTGAATAATAATAGAAATAATCAAAAAAGGAGACCTCCGATGTGGGTGGATGATGTCAAGTGCGATTGTCAATCGAACACTTAACAAACTATTATTAATCGAATTGTTATTGAATTACCCGCAAAGAAATCTATTCAAAATCTATTTTTGAGACAAAACAGCTGAAAAAAAATTCAGAAACGAAAAACAAAACAAAAATCCATCAATATTTGGTAACCGGTTTTCAATTTTAAATATCTAAAACCGTAATATGATTCACAAGATCTTGCGTCAAAGCCATAAAACAAGTTATGAATAAGTTAAGACCCTAGAGAGTGAGAGTGCAGTAGATGGGGTCGAAATGCAAACAAAGAAAAAATAGGAAAAAAAACTAAAAAACTCAGAGAGGAGAACAAGGTTTGCTCAGAGAAGAGCAGAAGGTCTTCTCACAGAAGGTCTTCTCATAGAAGAGAGAAATGTCTTCGTATAGAAGAGCGAGAATTTCTTCTCATATGAGACGAGAAGTTCTTCTCATAGAAGAGCGTTAGGACTTCTCATATGAGACGAGAAGGCATTCTCATAGAAGAGCGATAGCACTTCTCATATAAGAGGGAAAGATCTTCTCATAGAAGAACCGCAGGTCTTCTCCTAGAAGAGCTGGAGGTTTTCTCCTAGAAGAGCTGGAGGTCTTCTCCTAGAAGAGTTGGAGGTCTTCTCCTAGAAGAGCTGGAGGTCTTCTCATAGAGGAGCTGGAGGTCTTCTCCTAGAAGAGCTGGAGGTCTTCTCCTAGAAGATCTGGAGGTCTTCTCCTAGAAGAACTGGAGGTCTTCTCCTAGAAGAACTGGAGCTCTTCTCCTAGAAGAACTGGAGGTGTTCTCTTGGAAGAGCTGGAGGTCTTCTCTTGGAAGAGCTGGAGGTCTTCTCATAGAAGAGCTGGAGGTCTTCTCATAGAAGAGCTGGAGGTTTTCTCCTAGAAGAGCTGGAGGTCTTCTCATAGAAGAAGTGGAGGTCTTCTCCTCGAAGAGCTGAAGGTCTTCTCCTAGAAGAGCTGGAGGTCTTTTCATAGAAGAATCGGAGTTCTTCCATAGAATAATCGGAGGATTTCTCTTAGAAGACGTGGAATCTTATCTTGGAAGACGTGGAATCTTATCTTGGAAGACGGGGAAGTCTTCTCACAGAAGAGGGGCAAGTCTTATCTTAGAAGACGTGGAAGTCTTCTCTTAGAAGACGGGGGAGTCTTCTCTTGGAAGACGGGTAAGTCTTCTCTTGGAAGACGGGAAAGACTTCTCTTGGAAGACGGGTCTTCTCTTGGAAGACGGGAAAGTCTTCTCTTGGAAGACGGGTCTTCTCTTGGAAGACGGGAAAGTCTTCTCTTGGAAGACGAGGAAGTCTTCTCTTGGAAGACGGGGAAGTCTTCTCTTGGAAGACGGGGAAGTCTTCTCTTAGAAGACGGAGAAGTCTTCTGTTAGAAGACGGGGTAGCCTTCTCTCGGAAGATAAGAGAGTCTTCTCTTGGAAGACGAGAGAGTCTTCTCTTGGAAGGCGAGAGAGTCTTCTCTTGGAAGACGGGAAAGTCTTCTCTTAGAAGACAGGGAAGTCTTCTCTTAGAAGACGGGGAAGTCTTCTCTTAGAAGACGGGGAAGTCTTCTCTTAGAAGACGGGGAAGTCTTCTCTTAGAAGACGGGGAAGTCTTCTCTTAGAAGACGGGGAAGCCTTCTCTTAGAAGACAGAAATGCGTTATCTTAGAAATCACGAAGTTCTTCTTCAGAAGTTGCTCTCTTCTATTTTTCTTCACGGCAACCAGACATAACCCATTTATCCCATTATTCACTTATATCCACCTCTTCCGAATACCACAAATAATATCTTCTCTTTTTTTCCTCTTTCATCTTTTCCTCAGTTCGTTATCAAAATCTCTCAAAATAATTGATGTTGAATATGGCAGCGTTTCGACTCTCAATTCTGGCCCTTCTGGGTTTGGCTTTAATCTCAGCACTTCCGGCGAGCCATGCTAATCCCATCAGGAGAGCCGCGGAGGGGGTGACCGAATTTATAATTTTACACAACAATGACATGCATGCCCGTTTCGAACAGACCAGTGTGGATAGCGGCAAGTGTACCAAGGAAATGGCCAATACCAATAAATGCTATGGCGGATTTGCCCGAGTGGCTTATGAGTGAGTGTTTTTGGGGAGCTGAGAGAAAGAGAGAGAAGAAATGGGAAGTATTAAATGTGTCATTTTTTCTTCTCTTTTTCAGAGTACGCAAATTCCGTGAAGAGGCCAAGAATGGTGGACCTCCAGTCTTGTACTTGAATGCCGGTGACACCTATACCGGCACAGCCTGGTTCTATGTCTTCAAGGATAACATTACAGCTGCCTTTTTGAATAAACTGCAACCGGATGCCATTGTAGGTCCAATGCTCTCCTCCATTTTTATTTTGAAAATAATCAAAGGTTTTCTCTCGTTCCCTAGTCTCTGGGTAACCACGAATTCGATGAAGATGTTGAGGGTTTGGTGCCATTCTTGAACAAGGCAGAATTCCCTGTGCTAACCGCCAACTTGGATTTATCCAATCAACCCGAACTGAGGGCAGCTAAAAATCTCCAAAACTCCACGATCTTGGATGTCAATGGTGTCAAGGTGGGTGTCATTGGTTATTTGACACCAGAAACCCAGAATCTGACCAAAGCCAAGGATATTCTATTCATTGATGAAGTGGAAGCCATTAAGTAAGTAGTTGAGTAAGGCATTTATACGACATCATTTCTGATTGCTGATTTTTACAGCAAAGAAGCAGCTCGCCTAAAGTCGGAGGGTATTAACATCATCATTGCCCTGGGCCACTCGGGTTATATGAGAGATCAGGAAATTGCAGCCCAATGTCCCGATGTCGATTTGGTCATTGGTGGCCATACCAATACCTTCTTGTACAATGGCGAACAACCCGATGCTGAGCGCATTGATGGCCCCTATCCCACTGTGGTCAATCAGACAACGGGCAAACAGGTGCCAGTGGTCCAGGCCTATGCCTATACCAAATATTTGGGTAAACTACATGTCCAGGTAAATGGCGCGAGGATTCCGAATTCCATTGATCCTTAATCCCTCGCAATTCCCTTTTCTGATTATAGTTCGACAAGGATGGCAATCTGTTAGAGTTCGATGGCACTCCCATCCTCTTGAATGCCGAGGTTCCACGCGAAGATGATGTGCTGCAGCTCTTGGAAACCTATCGTCCTCAGGTGGAAGCCTTGGAAAATGACATTATTGGCCATACCAAGGTGCATTTGGAGGGTCGCTCGGAAATCTGCCGCTCTGAGGAATGTAATCTGGGAAATCTTGTGGCCGACTCCATGATCCATGCCCGAGTTTTGGAGGATTTGGGTGGGGCCTATTGGACTGATGCTGCCATTGCTTTGATTCAGGGTGGAGGTAAGTTGGAGACATAAGAAAGTAATGATAAGTTTTTTCATTTTCTTTCCCCTCCCTCTCCCCCTCCCAGGCATTCGCAATTCCATTGAAAAACGTTCGGATGGTTCCATTCTAGCCGCCGATGCTGTGGGTGTGTTGCCCTTCAACAATGACTTGTATGTTACGAAAATTTCAGGCAAAACTCTGCTCGACGCCCTCGAGCATTCAGCCATCATGCATGAACGCGACTCCAGCGGTGGCTTCCTACAAATGTCCGGTGTTCATGTGACCTATGACTATAACCGGGACGCTGGCCATCGTGTCGTCAGCGCCGAAGTACGTTGTGCTGCCTGCAATGTGCCCACTTTCGAACCCTTGGACCAAACGAAACAGTACAATGTCATTGTACCTTTCTTTCTGCTGGACGGTGGTGACGGTCACACGCTCGTCGAAAAAGGTGGTCCCGAACCCATGCGCATGACCAAAAAAGATTCCGAAGCTCTGATGGACTATTTGAGACGTCATGATTTCGTCTATCCCCAGGTGGAGGAACGCATTACCATCATTGCCAAGGAAGAGGAGGATAATGGCAATGGTAATGGCAACGGCAATGGCAACGGCAATGGCGATGGTGGTGGAGATGGTGCTTTTGCTGTTGTCAGTTCGGGATTATTGATTGTGTGCTCATTGCTGTCCCTGAGATTGTTCAATTAAAGCGAGAGAGAGAGAGCGAGAGATGCAGAGAGTGTGTGTTTGTGAGAGAACTGAGCTGAGCTGTATTAGAATAGCCAAAGAAAAGAAAAAACTCAGGAAAATTTCAGTTGTATTGTTTTAATTTGAGCTCAAGTTTTATTTAAAAAAAAAAAAGATTGAATGTGAAATAAAAAGTTTCTAAAACATTTTATTTAAAAAAGACTTTTCGACTTTATTCAAATTATATAAAAGCTTTATCCTGTATTCAGATGACACAAGAGCTTTTTATTTTAGACAAATGACCTTAAACTTTATCCACGTTATCCAAATGACACTTAACCTTTATCCGTGTTATCCAAACGCCACTAAACATTTATCCACGTTTTTCAAATGACACTAAACCTTTATCCGTGTTATCCAAATGCCACTAAAACTTTATCCACGTTATCCAAATGCCACTAAAACTTTATCCACGTTATCCAAATGACACTAAACCTTTATCCACGTTATCCAAATGACACTAAACCTTTATCCATGTTATCCAAATGCCACTAAACATTTATCCATGTTATCCAAATTACACTAAACATTTATCCACGTTATCCAAATGACACTAAACTCTTATCCACGTTATCCAAATGACGGAAGGACTTTATCCACGTTATCCAAATGCCGCTAAAATTTTATCCACGTTATCCAAATGCCACTTAACCTTTATCCACGTTATCCAAATTACACTAAACCTTTATCCACGTTATCCAAATTACACTAAACCTTTATCCACGTTATCCAAATTACACTAAACCTTTATCCACGTTATCCAAATGTCACTAAAACTTTATCCACGTCATCCAAATGACACTAAAACTTTATCCACGTTATCCAAATTACACTAAACCTTTATCCACGTTATCCAAATGCCACTAAAACATTATCCACGTTATCCAAATGACACTAAACCTTTATCCACGTTATCCAAATGACACTTAATCTTTATCCGTGTTATCCAAATGCCGCTAAAACTTTATCCACGTTATCCAAATGCCAATAAAACTTTATCCACATTATCCAAATGACACTTAATCTTTATCCACTTTATGCAAATGTTACTAAACCTTTATCCACGTTATCCAAATGCCACTAAACCTTTATCCGTGTTATCCAAATGCCGCTAAAACTTTATCCACGTTATCCAAATGCCAATAAAACTTTATCCACATTATCCAAATGACACTAAAACTTTATCCACTTTATGCAAATGTTACTAAACCTTTATCCACGTTATCCAAATGACGGAAGGACTTTATCCAAGTTATCCGAATGCCACTAAAACTTAGTCCACGTTATCCAAATGACACTAAATCTTTATCCACGTTATCCAAATGACACTAAACCTTTATCCATGTTATCCAAATGCCACTAAACCTTTATCCATGTTATCCAAATGCCACTAAACCTTTATCCATGTTATCCAAATGCCACTAAAACATTATCCACGTTATCCAAATGACACTAAACCTTTATCCACGTTATCCAAATGACACTTAATCTTTATCCGTGTTATCCAAATGACACTTAACCTTTATCCGTGTTATCCAAATGCCACTAAAACATTATCCACGTTATCCAAATGACACTTAACCTTTATCCGTGTTATCCAAATGCCACTAAACCTTTATCCACGTTATCCAAATTACACTAAACCTTTATCCACGTTATCCAAATGCCACTAAAACTTTATCCACGTTATCCAAATGCCGCTAAAACTTTATCCACGTTATCCAAATGCCAATAAAACTTTATCCACATTATCCAAATGCCACTAAACCTTTATCCACGTTATCCAAATGACACTAAAATTTTATCCACGTTATCCAAATGACACTAAACCTTTATCCACATTACCCAAATGCCACTAAATCTTTATCCGTGTTATCCAAATGCCACTAAACCTATATCCATGTTACCCAAATGACACTAAACCTTTATCCACGTTATCCAAATACCACTTAAACTTTATCCACGTTATTCAAATGCCACTAAAACTTTATCCACGTTATCCAAATGACGGAAATACTTTATCCATGTTATCCAAATGCCACTTAAATTTTATCCACGTTATCCAAATGACACTAAACCTTTATCCACGTTATCCAAATGCCACTAAAACTTTATCCACGTTATCCAAATGCCACTAAAACTTTATCCACGTTATCCAAATGACACTAAACCTTTATCCACGATATCCAAATGACACTAAACCTTTATCCACGTTATCCAAATGACACTAAACTTTTATCCACAATATCCAAATGGCAGAAAACCGTTATCCAAATGACTCATAAGGTGTACCCTACCCATCTAAATGACAGAGAGGCTTTATCCACGTTATCCAAGTGACACAAAACCTTTATCCACGTTATCCAAAAAATTGTCCCTTTTTATACCCTACAACACAAGGTGGTCAGGGTATTATGTCTTTGTGCATTTGTTTGTAACAGGCAAAATGAAACGAGATAGAGCCATAGTTCTTTTTGATGATCTGCATAGAATCATATTCTGAGTCGATTTATGCATGTCCGTCCGTCTGTCCGTCCCTCCGTCTGTCCATGTATTTTTGTAAACAAAGTACAGTTCGCATTTATTGCCCGATCCAGATGAAATGTTGCACAAATCATTTGTTTGGCCCAAGGACGAACCCCGCTGAAATTGGAGATAATCGGTAAAAATTTAGATATAGCTCCCATATATATGTTCGTCCGATTTGCCTTTTATTGTGCACCAAACGTGTAATATCAGCCCGAATAGTATGGAATTTTGCACATACAACCAAATTAGGCCTAAAAATAAGTATGTCAAATTTGATCGAAATCGGTTGAGATATAGCTATAGCTCCCATATATATTATTCATCCGATTTGTTTTGTTTTTGTCCTCCGCAGCCGTAATATGCACTCTGTAACAACAATATTTTGGGGAAATATATCAAATACAGCTCAGAAATACCTTTGCTAAATTTTATCGTGATCGCTTCAGATTTGGATATAGCTCCCATATATAACTTCGTCCGATTTACCTCTTATTGTACACCAAACGTCTAATATTTGTCCAAATGGGATGGAATTTGCCACTCATGACCGAATTGAGTCTAGAAGCTGGAATGCCAAATTTGGTGAAGATCGGTTCAGATATAGGCATAGCTCCCACATATATTGTTCATCGGATTTGTTATATTTGTCCTCCGCAGCCGTAATATGCACTCTGCAACAATAATATTTGGGGAAATACATCAAATACAGCTCAGAAATATCTTTGCCAAATTTTATCGAAATCGGTTCAGATTTGGATATAGCTCCCATATATAACTTCGTCCGATTTACCTTTTATTGTTCACCAAACGTCTAATATTTGTCCAAATGGGATGGAATTTGGCACCTACGACCGAATTGAGTCTAGAAGCTGGAATGTCAAATTTGGTGAAAATCGGTTCAGATATAGCCATAGCTCCCACATATATTGTTCATCCGATTTGTTTTGTTTTTGTCCTCCGCAGCCATAATATGCACTCTGTAACAACAATATTTGGGGAAATATATCAAATACAGCTCAGAAATATCTTTGCCAAATTTTATCCAGATCGCTTCAGATTTGGATATAGCTCCCATATATAACTTCGTCGGATTTACCTTTTATTGTACACCAAACGTCTAATATTTGTCCAAATGGGATGGAATTTGCCACTCATGACCGAATTGAGTCTAGAAGCTGGAATGTCAAATTCGGTGAAGATCGGTTCAGATATAGCCATAGCTCCCACATATATTGTTCATCCGATTTGTTATATTTGTTATCCAAATGCTCGAAATTCTTTATCCGCGTTATCCAAATGGCTCAATATGCCTTATCCACATTTCTTCAAATGACCAAAATGCCTCAGACGTATTATCCAAATGTCATAGAACCCGTATCCATGTTATGCATAAGGTCTAACATCTATTTTCCATGTACCATATACGCATTATCCATATTATCCAATTTTCACAAAAATCGGCCCAAACAGTCTAAAGACTCTACCGTGTTTTCCAAAGGGATAAGAAGACCCTATGGTCTCCTTGGAGAAGACACTTTGTTGTAACAGGAGAAGACCCTTCGGTCTCCTAGGAGAAGACCTTTTGGTGTCCTAGGAGAAGACCTTTCCGTCTCCTAGGAGAAGGTCCTTTTGTCTTCTATGAGAAGACCCCTTGGTCAAAGGATAACATTTCTTCAAATGGTCTACATGTTTTATACACGATATCCGAATTATTCGACAGCCATAAAAAACTATGGCTATCCGAATTATTCGACAGCCATAAAAAACTATGGCTATCCGAATTATTCGACAGCCATAAAAAACTTATTCCATTATGGAAATATCATATAACAATTATCCATTTTATCCAAACGCCATAAATTCGTTATCCGCAATATCGAAATACCCAACAAATCTTATCCATGTTGCCCACACTTAGACCTGGTCCGAATCATGTGGAAACCTTATCCATTTTATCCAAACATCATAGAAATGTTATCCAGGTTATCTAAATTTTTTTATTCGTCTTTTTTTCTCAATTTTTTTATTCGTCTTAAATTAAATAAAAAAATTACAAACTCTTTTTCATGGCTCCGGAATCCTTATTCGAGAATTTTTCTTCCAAAATCTACACCTTCTTCAAAATCTAAACAATGGGATAACTGCACTCCATGGCAATGCCACAGAAATTCTTGCCACGTGGCAAACGGAAATAGCCCTCCTCACCCCAGGCCTTGTCCCAACTGTTCTTGACAATCCAATAGTCTTGGCCATTTTCACTGCCATAGCCCACAACCAAAACGGAATGATTTACCTCACCCTTGTTGCATTCCTCGTCGGAGTAGATGCCACGTTTGTAGAGCAACAACGATTCCAGGCCATTGACCGAACAGGCGAGGGGGCCCAGAGTTGCGACAACCTTTTTCATTGTGGCCTCATCCTTTTCATCGATTTTGGCAAATCCAGTAATTTCGGCTCCCTTCAAATTCGCCTTATAACGGCAGGTATCCTTCTTGTCCAGATATGGATAGACTTCGTTTTTGGCCACACCCTTTTGATTGGTAATAAATTCAAAGGCATACTCTTGGAAGCCACCATCACAGCCAGCCAGACCCATGTCCTCTTTGCCGCAATCAATGAGATTCTGTTCGGAAAGATTAATCAATTGGCCGGTCTTGCGGAAATAGTGGCCCTCAATGGCCCCCGTGGTGGCAAATGACCAGCAGGAACCGCATTCCCCTTGGAATTTCACCGGGGTGACACCACCCTTTTCGCGCCAATCAAAGGAGTCGGGGATTTTGGCAGCGGCCGGTGGAGCAGGCCGTTGGCGATGTTTGCTGGCTGCAGCCCTAAAACAATGGGAACAAATTTCATGAGTATTTGGAGAAAGAGAGCGAGAGAGAGACTGAATCACACTTACTCTCCCTTGGCGGATTTCACATTGCCCGTAAGTTGCTTCACAAATTCGGCAGGGGTAAGATCGGCAAAAGCATTAATGGCGGTTTCGAAAGTCGATTTGCCGGCAGCAAACAATTTATTGTTGTTGTCCACCAAATTCAGGCGATCCTTGAAGAGGCCTTCACGCAAGGTCTTTTCGGCGGCGGAGGCATATTTTTTGCCAGTTTGTTGCTAAAGAGAAGAACGGGATTGAAAACTTTCCGAAATTTCAAAACCCGCTTTTACTCACCGCAAAATCGGCAAAATCCTTGACATTATTCACCAATGGCACCTTTTTAAGGGCCGAAGTAAAAGTTCCAACGCCACGATTCAGGACATTGCTGAAACTACCCCCAGCACCACTGAGACTGCCACCACCACCTCCAAAGCCACCAAATCCTCCAAATTGGCCATAGGCCAGGGCGAAGCACAATGGCAAGATGCAGAAAATCAATTTCATTTCTTGGGTCTTTGTTTCTAACTTGCGACTCTAATCCAAACACCTGTTCCACCCGAACGCAAAAAAAAGAAAGTAAAATATTTAAAATATTATTTGGTTTCAAAATTCCGCTCGAATTTCGCTGTTATGATTATTGTTATTGCTGTTGAATAACAAACTGATTAAGAAATTAAGCGCCGAACCGGACCGCACAAACTAACCTTTCGTATGTAATCACCGATAATATTTAGACGCGATCTTGAACAGCATCTTTTATAGATTCGTTAATTGTCGATTCGTGTTTATTAATTAGCTTGATTTGATTTGTGGCCAACAGCTAACTAACCAACCAACCGGCTGGCTAGCTGACGGGCTACCCAGAGCTACTGTTTTGCCATTTTCCCCATCTCTTTGCTGAATTTCTTCTCCCCCACAGCGTCTACACCCTACAGTAGGCCGGCGGGGGAAGAACCTAAAATTATACACATTTCATAATGATATTCAAATAGATCTTCATCGAGTTCGAGTAGTGCCATATGTAGTGGTGAAAATCTTGGACACAGTGGTTGGAGATGGGCAAAAACAAATTGCAGCTCATAATAACTGAGCTTAAAGCTTTCACACACCCCTTATGGGAAAAAAATTACATAAAAGCTCTATGTATTTTAAGGAAATCGCTTTAAAGCTTTTATTGTGACCAGGAAGCTTTAAACACAATAAGCTAATTACCTTAAAGCTTTGTCCCGTAGTCCAACTGGCCAAAAATACTTATCAGCGTTAATCAAATAATAATAAAAGAGCTTTACTCTCAGGAAATTACTTTAAAGCTTTTATATAGTGCTTAAAGCTTTCACAGGCCCTGTATGGGAAAAAGCTCGATGTGAATAATGCACAATATGAAAATTGCATAAAAGCTCTATGTATTTTAAGAGAATTACTTAAATGCTTTTGCTATGACCAGAAAGCTTTAAACACAACAAGCTAATTACCCTAAAGCTATATCCTGAAGTCCAAGTGGCCAAAAAGCTTTATAATAAAATAATAATAAAAGAGTTTTACTCTCAGTAAATTACTTTAAAGCTTTTATAATGACATAAAAGCTTTATATTAAAATCTAAAATTAAAGCTTTATCCGCATTATCCAAGTGGCGAAAAAAACTAATCCGCATCATTCAAATAACCAAATGGTTCAGAAGCTTTATTGGCGTTATTCAAATGGCCCAGAATCTTTATTGACGTCATCCAAATAGTCTAAATGATTTATCCGAGTGGCCTAAATTAATTATCCGCGTTATCCAAATGGTCTAAATAATTTATCCACGTTATCCAAATAGTTTAAATTCATTATCCGCGTTATCCAAATGGCGAAAAAACTAATCCGCATCATTCGAATGACCAAATGGTTCAGAACCACTTTATCCGAGTGGTCTAAATTAATTATCCACGTTATCCAATTGATCTAAATTCGTTATCCGCGTTATCCAATTGGTTTAAATTCTTAATCCACGTTATCCAAATGGTCTAAATTCATTATCCGTGTTATCCAAATGGCCTAAAAGATTTATCCACGTTATCCAAATGGTTTAAATGCTTTATCCACATTACCCAAATGGTCTAAACTATTTATCCATGTTATCCAAATGCTCCAAATGTTTTATCCGCGTTATCCAAATGATCTAAATAATTTATCCACGTTATCCAAATGGTCTAAATTCATTATCCGAGTTATTCAAATGGTCCAAATTCATTATCCGCGTTATCCAAATGGTTTAAATGCTTTATCCGCATTATCCGAATGGTGTAAACGATTTATCTAAATGCTATAAATGTTTTATCCGCATTATCCAAATGGTCTAAATGATTTATCCACGTTATCCAAATGCCCTAAATATTTCATCCACGTTATCCGAAAGGTCTAAATTCATTATCCGCGTTATCTAAAGGGTCTAAACGATTTATCCATGTTATCCAAATGCCTTAAATGATTTATCCTCATTATCCAAATAAACGGTCTAAATAATTTATACACGTTATCCAAATGGTCTAAATTCATAATCCGCGTTATCCAAATGATTTAAATGCTTTATCCGCATTATCCAATTGAACCAAATGCTTTATCCGAATTATCCAATCGAACTTAATATTTTATCCACGTTATCCAAATGGCACAAATACTTTATCCGAGTCATCAAAATGGTTTATCCACATTATCCAAACGGTTTAAATGTTTTATCCACGTTATCCAAATGCTCTAAATTCATTATCCGCGTTATGCAAATGATCTAAATGCTTTATCCACGTTATCCAAATGGTTTAAATGCTTTATCCACATTACCCAAATGGTCTAAACTATTTATCCATGTTATCCAAATGCTCCAAATGTTTTATCCGCGTTATCCAAATGATCTAAATAATTTATCCACGTTATCCAAATGGTCTAAATAATTTATCCACGTTATCCAAATGGTCTAAAATCATTATCCGCGTTATCCAATTGAACTAAATGCTTTATCCGCATTATCCAATTAAACTAAACGCTTTATCCACGTTATTCAAAGGGCATAAATGCTTTAACCACTTTATCCAAATTGTTTAAACGATTTATCCGCGTTATCCAAAAGGTCTTAACGACTTATCCACGCTATCCAAATGCTATAAATGTTTTATTCGCGTTATCCAAATGGTCTAAATGATTTATCTACGTTATCCAAATTGTCTAAATTCATTATCCGCGTTATCCAATTGATCTAAATGCTTTATCCGCGTTATAAAAATGGTCTGAATGATTTATCTACGTTATCTAAATGGTCTAAACTATTGATGCACCCTATCCAAACGCTCTAAATGTTTTATCCGCGTTATCCAAATGGTCTAAATTCATTATCCGCGTTATCCAATTGATCTAAATACTTTATCCGCGTTATCCAATTAAACTAAATGCTTTATCCGCGTTATTCAATTGAACTAAATGCTTTATCCACGTTATCCAAATGTCATAAATACTTAATCCACGTTATCAAAATGATTTAAATGCTTTGCCCACATTATCCAAACTGTCGAAACGATTTATCCATGTTATCCAAATTCTCTAAATATTTTACCCGCGTTATCCAAATGGTCTAAAAGCTTTATCCGCGTTATCAAAATGGTCTGAATGATTTATCTACGTTATTCAAATGTTCTAAATGCGTTATCCGTGTTATCCATATGGTTGAAATTCTTTATCCGCTTTATCCAATATTTTAAACTATTTATCCACATTATCCAATTGGCCTAAATTCTTTATCCACGTTATCCAAAAATGTAAATAACTCATCCACCTTATCCACATGGCATAAATGTTGTAGAAAACTTATCCAAATAGTCCAACCGACTTATCCAGAATATCCATGGAACAGTGTTGGCTTATTTGTTCGGGATACCATAGTATTTTGTTGTTGCAAAATGGTCAGGCTTAATACCTTTATTGTTGTTTTTAATAAAAACAACGTTTGTTTATTAGTGGAGAACGATGGTAATATTTACCAGGGGGTAAGGCAGGGAATACCTAGTTTTCGGAAAGAGCCACCAATCCTCACCATAAAATGTTCAAATGGCCTAGCCGACTTACCGAAAAGTCTGAATGCATTATTCGTGCTGTTTATATGATATAAGTAGGATAACCTACTAATCCATATTTCTCCCCGTTATCCAAATCATATTAACTGATTATTTATAGTGGCTATATTTTTTTTTATAATTTTCCCGTTCCTCACACTGTGCCGACTCTCAATAAAAATAAAAATAAAAAAACATTAACTAAATTACCTATTGATTTTGTTGATTTGTTTAAAGATTTCGTTTTGTTTTTTTTTTTCGTTTTGTAAATTTGTAACTGACAGAAAAAACAAATCAACAAAAATAAACAGTGGCTAGCTAAATTACCAGCTGAAACTTGCTTTTGACGTTTGCCGTTAATGATCAAACCTGTTTTGCGGATTACGTTCGCACGGTCCGTTCTTGCTCTTGGAATACACCCACAAATTCTAATGAAATGAAATTGGACAGATGGACAGACAGACGAATATTAATGTTTCCTTAAAACTATCAATTAAACAGCAGCTATAGAAAATAGCATTTATTGCTAATCGTTTGGTTTGCCAGAGCTAGTCAATATATTTGATTTAGTTGGAGTTTATGAGATTGTGTGGGGGATAAATTTTATCGATATTTCGATTCCAAACATGTGTCATGACACATTGTCACCTAAATTACACGTCTTATGAGGATGGCCCTCATTTATTTGTCATGGGATATAAATAATTTAGGATCTGAATGATATGTTTTATTAAAAAAAAATACCTAAAACAAGTAAAAAAGCTGTAAGTTCCGCCGGGACGAACTTTGATTACCCTCCACCATTTGGAACGAATTTGGCAATTCCTAAAAACTATAAAATCCGTTAAAAATTCTGTTAAAATATTAAAAAGGCCGAATGTGGCTGTTGTTTAAGGGTATATATGACGACATGGACCTGCATAGGTAACTTTTGCCATAAGCCATTATAATATTCAAATGCGAAACTTAAAAAAAAGTCTGTGAATAATGTCGCTAAAATCATCAAAATACAGAATATCGGGAGGTATCGTTATATGGGGGCTATACGAAGACCTGGACCTGGACAGACAATTTTCTGTCTAAGATTGTAGTATCCATTTCGAACTTCAAATACCAAATTTCAAAAAATTCCGGTGAACAATGTCGCTAAAATCATCAAAATACCGAATATCAGGAGGTACCGTTATATGAGGGCTATACGAAGACGTGGACCTGCACAGACAATTTTCTGTCTTAGGCTGTGGTATCCACTACGAACTTCAAATGCCAAATTTGAAACAATTCCGGTGAATATTGTCGCTAAAATCACCAAAATACCGAATAACGGGAGGTACCGTTATATGGGGGCTATACGAAGACATGAACCTGAACAGACAATTTTCTGTCTTAGGTTGTAGTAACCATTTCGAACTTCAAATACCAAATTTGAAACAATTCCAGTGAACAATGCCGCTAAAATCATAAAAAAACCGAATATCTGGAGGTACCGTTATATGGGGGCTATACGAAGACGTGGACCTGCACAGAAAATTTTCTGTCTTAGGTTGTAGTATCCATTTCGAACTTCAAATACCAAATTTGAAACAATTCCGGTGAACAATGTCGCTAAAATCATCAAAATACCGAATATCGAGAGGTACCGTTGTATGGGGTCTATACGAAGACGTGGACCTGAACAGACAATTTTCTGTCTTAGGTTGTAGTATCCATTTCGAACTTCAAATACCAAATTTGAAACAATTCCGGTGAACAATGTCTCTAAAATCATCAAAATACCGAATATCGGGAGGTATCGTTATATGGGGGCTATACGAAGACGTGGACCTGAACAGACAATTTTCTGTCTTAGGCTGTGGTATCCACTACGAACTTCAAATGCCAAATTTAAAACAATTCCGGTAAATAATGTCGCTAAAATCATCAAGATACCGAATATCGGGATGTATCGTTATATGGGGGCTATACCAAAACGTAGACCAACATGGCCCATTTTCAATACGAAAAATCCTGCTAACATAATATACATTTGAGTAAAATTTTATCAATCTCCTTCATTTCGTTCGGAAGCTAGAGTCATTTCCACAGACGGACAGAGGGATAGACAGACGTACATCGCTAAATCGACATAGAATTTTATTCTGATTAAAAATATATATACTTTGTGGGGTCTAAAATGTATATTTCGAGGTGTTACAAACGGAATGACAAACATAATATACCCTCCCTACTATGGTGGAGGGTATAATAAATATTCAAATTTCGGCAAAGTAAGTCGTATATGTAGCGATCTTTTACGTCGTCCAAATTATCTCAGTAATAATTTTCGTATTAATCTTTGACGAAAAAAATGTGCTGTTTCTGCTTGGGAAATACTGAATAATCAATTGTTTTTTTTTTCAGAGAAACGGATTAAAATCAATTAAAAATTATAACAGGATTTCAAAATCCGTTGATTATTTTGGCGAATAAAAAAGAACAGCTGTCTTTATTATAAGCGTCTTTATAGTGCGGCTTTTTGGAACCCTGTTTATTTTTGAAACAGAAACACTACCATATTAAATGCTAGCCGGTTAGGAGATTAATTATATGGAGGGTGACTTGTTTTCCAAACTGATTTGTTTTTAATTTCAAAATAAATTTCGTATAATAGATGATATGAAACAAAGAGTAGCAAATTCGTTTGATTTAATATGTGTCAGAAAAAACTGACTTAAAGCGGTTGTTGTACATCGGCAGAAGTTTTATTAATTTATTATTTATTTATTTATTTATTATTGTATTAAAGGACTGCTATGAAATAAATTCTTTGAGAAGGGTTTCTTTCTATTGAGAATTCTTAGAAAATCTTTTTTCCTTAAAAAAAAATACTGGAAATACTTCTAGCTATAAAGGGCCCAAATCAAATGTCCTACGTCCATGGTGGTATACGTCGAAGATCGTCTATCTGTTTATAGAAACCCCCTTAAACAATCCTTGGTCTATAGTAGAACTTTAAAAACATCTACTCTCCTTGAGACTTACAGAAGACCTTAAAAATGCTTTCTATTAAAATCCCTGTATAAGATCTACTTCCAGTAGAAGGTCTCCACTCGGTATTGAAAATTATGAAATAATCCCACCTTTTTCTTGGCTTTAGTAAACAGTCATTCGTTTGTTCAATTTATTGATTAACACCCACCATGTGTAATTTATCGTCAACATTACAATAAAATGTTAAGCATACTTTCAGGCGTAATATCAGTTTTCAGTCTTTTACAAACAGCTTCTCTTTGGACCACAATTTTACATAAAATCAATTGCATTTAATTTTACTATGTATTAAATTGTTTCATAGAATACCTCTAGAACTTTTATCCATAAAATTACTTCAAAAAGGACTTCTATTTACCAATTTTCTTGGATATTCTTGTCATAGAATAAGGACTTCTGTCCATACCCTTTAGAATGCTCTTATTTCATTTTACTAAGTATTTAACTGTTTCATGGAATACCTCTAGAACTTTTATCCATAAAATTACTTCAAAAAGGACTTCTATTTACCGATTTTCTTGGATATTTATGTCATAGAATAAGGATTTCTGTCCATATCTTTCCTCTTATTTCATTTTACTAAGTATTAAATTGTGTCATAGAATACCTCTAGTACTTTTATCCATAAAATAAGTTCAAAAAGGACTTCTATTTACCGATTTTCTTGGATATTCTTTCATAGCTTAAGGACTTCTGTCCATACCCTTTAGAATGCTCTTATTTCATTTTACTAAGTATTAAATTGTTTCATAGAATACCTATAGAACTTTTATCCATAAAATTACTTCAAAAAGACTTCTATTTACCGATTTTCTTGGATATTCTTGTCATAGAATAAGGAATTCTGTCCATGTCTACAGCAGACCCTAAATGTAGTAAAAATCGTTGTTTAGGTGTTAATCCTATGGGAATCTGTGGCAAAAGAATGCGACTCGGTACGGGGCTCCCTTATTTTGTAAACTTTTAAGGTTGGTGCAGAGATTTCGACATTTTTAAAACTCGGACATTTTTATACTCTACATGTGGCACTAAAAGTTATTCCTAAAAGGCCAGTTTTCTGTTTATATTCCCTACACAAACCCTGTGTCTATAGAGACCTGTATATCTAGAGAATTCCTTCTCTTATCTACATTCGAAACATTTTATAATTCCTATTTAAAAGGTTATATTTGAAATGTATTTTAGCATAGATCTTTAGGATGGTTTTCCCATCTATATTCAAAGGAGGTGTCTTGGGTACGGGGTTCCTGGATAAAGTGGACATTGAATAACAAATGTATTTATCGAACCTCAGATTCCTTGTTTAAGCCATTTTTTAATTTTCGTCCTGATATAGTTCTTTGGAAATGACAAGAGCTAAAACAAAAAATTAATAGAAGTTTAATTTACAAAAGCATAACATTTATTTTTTATATAATCAATTTGTGTTCAACAAAATGATTCATTTAGTTTTTAATTCTCTATCTTATAATACTTGAAAACAAAAAATGATTAAACTTAATATTATCTCACCCCACGCGTCTGCCTCTACTTCGGCAAGTACTTCAAATATCGCATTTCATGACATAGCCAAACAGCAAAAGAGAGCAACAACAGTGAACCCGATTGATGGGCAGCAGCCAAATGGACGGGTACATGATTTAGCAGTGTACTAATACCCAAGGTTACTTGCAGCCACGCAACAAATGCGGCCGAGTTCATGGCCCAATATGCCCGCTTGGGTAGTCTAGTACGTCTGGACAACAGCCACATAGCTGAGACCAAAGTCAAGGTGGTAACACCTAAAATGCGATGATTAAATTGTACCGTTGTAGGATTTTCCGTTAAATTCTTATTGATCGGTTGGAATGCCAAAATATCATCGGGCAACCATTTATCACCCATTTTTGGGAAGGAATTATACACCAAACCAGCATCTAGACCCGCAACAAAGGCTCCCGAAAATGCAGTTAAAAATATCAAACCCTTTGCGGCATAGGCAAAACGTTTAAAACGCAAAGTACTCAAACTGGCAGTGGGAAATTGTTCGGCGGGCAGCAATTTCTTGAGGCCCTGTGACAAAAATAGCGTATAAAGAACAAATGCAACACCCAAATGGGCAGCCAAACGATGTTGTGAAACACGTGGTACATCGTTGACATCTTCGAAACGATTTTCCAAACCCGATTTGACCATGTACCAACCCATTAGGCCTTGGGCACCGATCAAGCTGCCCATGAGAAGTACAAATTTCTTGGTGGTGGAATTCAGGCGTCCCTTGGACCAAAAGTATATGGCTGGTAGTAAGAAAACTGCGCCAATGGCTCGACCCCACATGCGATGTATGTACTCCATCCAGAATATGCGACGAAATTCATCCACAGTCATATTTTGGTTTTTCCTGAAAAAAAAAATTAAAGGGTAATTATAAATGAAAATATATATCTTCCACTCTTACATTTTGAATTCCGGATACTGTTGATACAAGCGAAACTCTTCCTCCCATTCAGCCTGGGATGTGGGAAATTTCTCACCCAACAACTTCCATGTGACCATAGACAGGCCAGATTCTGTCAAGCGTGTAACACCACCCAGGGCCACGGCCAAATATACCATGCCACCACATACCATCAACCATTTGCCGACCGCCTTTTCGCTTTGAACGGCAATTTGTTGACTTTGACTATGGCATATCCTCACTATTGGAGCCTTAAAGGTGTTTGGTTTCAAAAGTGTCTACAATGTGACGAAAGAAGACAACACATTGAATTTCACAATGTTTCAACCGTTTAAATAATAAATTAAAATTACCTTTGTTGTAATACCAGTTGATAGATTCCTAATTCCCCTGTGCACCAGGTGGGGATTACACCTGATTTGGGGAGTGATAACACTGCAAGCTGCCCTTAAAAGCCGGCTCATTGTTTCGGGAAGTTATCCAATCACAAGGAGATTTAAGTTCAATGTGGCAATATATTCACACAATTGAACTATGTGAACTAGTTTCTTTGTATTATTCACTTTATACAATTCGTTTCGTTCATATGAAAATTGTTTCCATAACATCGCAAAGAAAGAAGAGGTATTATACATTTTCATCTCCTCACTTTATCTCACCTGCCTCTCACGATCTTCGTAATTAAATATATTTTAAATTAAACATTCTTCCAATCTCACGTTTATCAAGTACTTGAACATAGGTTTCTAGAGGCCATGAATAATACGAATTGGTGTTCCCTAACAACACAGGGTGGTTAATGAAAAATTCAATTTACTTTTTTAAACTAACGTTTCCCTCAAAAATGGGCAAAAATCCTTAATAAATGTAGTATATTTTATAAAAGTAGATAGACTATTTTTAAATTATTTTGGATTTATGTCCTGCAAGTTGATATATTGCAATTTTTCCATCATATATAACAAAATCCCTTTGTCTGGCTAAAAAAATAAGACACGAGTGTCCATATCAAACGAAATAATTGATGAGCTAAGACAAGGAGAGCCAGAATCTTATAAAACTACGGCAGAATCTTGGTACATATATCATCCATTTTTCCAATGAAAATCGCCACTCGAACGAGACCATAGCTCTATCTGTTACGACATACTGCTATAACAAGGCCCATGGGATTTAGGAAAATACCTGGCGGTTTCCGGTCCTGGTTCCTGGTGAAGTGTTCCTCAGCTACTGAGTAAATTTTTTTCAATGAATATAACTACAAGATTTCTAACAAGCACCTTTCATTCTGAATTAAAAACTATATTTTGAATACAAAAAAAAAAGGATTTAATGAATTATTTGACAAATTTTCTTAAATAAAATACTTTTTATAAAAACAACTAACGTAATGTGGCGAATTTTTGAAAATTAACAGTACTGAATTTCCCAAACAATTCCAATGGGTAGTGGCGATCCTCTACGGGCGCATGTATGCGGATTTGGCGCATATGAGTATCACGGCCATTTTGATGATTGGATATGACAGCAATTTGAAGCATAAAGGTGCGTATACATTTCACCGTGCCATCCTTGATGGGAATGGTAACCCAACCTACAACAAAAGATATTAGCACTTAATTCCTCCAAACAATACAAATAATTAGTAACCTACCAGTGGGTTCATACAAATCAACCAATTGCAACTCCTGCAAATCATTAAAATGTGATCCGGCCCTTATGGAGATACGTGACGGTGTGTAACTTTCATCCAGCTTATAGTCGGTATAAATGTATATCTGACTAATGTTCGTCTTCCGATGAAATTGAATATTCACCAAATGTGGCAATTGGCCATCCGATTGCCAATACGTATCCATAATGTTGTCACGTAAACGTTCCACACCAAAGCCGGGTTTGCATGATGATAAACTCCAGACTGCTTGATTGCCTACCTCTCTTACCATGCCATTACGTTCCTCCTCCAATGGATCTTCTTTGGTATCAGTTTTTTCAGTTTCTTCATTATTCATTTGGCGAGAATTTGGAGTTGCTGCAAATGTTTTACAAATTTACAAATTGAAACAAAGTTAGTTTTGTTTTAATTGTAAGCCGATTAGGCAAAACAATGACGGCTGATGTGTGTTTGTGTGAATTTTTGGGGAATCAAAACAATGCTTCTTCTTACCTCGTTTTTGCAATGAAATTATGTGGTATGCTAAATGAACTGATAGCACAAAGAAATAAAATCATTGAGTTGATAGTAGTGTACGGTTAGTGGTGAACGTAACGTAAATGTAATGCAAAGAATGATGGCGTAAATCTGTTAATTAAGGATGTTAAATTTAAAAAAATATATGCAAGATGGCACAAAAAAGGGTTTTATGTATTCTCACCTTAACGCCTTATTAATATTGAACACGTTTTTATAAAACGGGTTGTTTAGATGACCATTTAATTTGATTATATGTGAAATAAGTGACGAATCTTTGTGGAGCGCGTCTTATTTAAGGCCCTCACTGTCATCTTCCCGTTTTCAATGTCTTCATCCCGTTTCATCTCTAATGTTCTCATAGTAAATGCAGTTTGCCAGCATATCGTTAGATTAAAACGTCTTTTACACTTAGCGTAATTTCAGAGAGAGTACGTAATTTATTTGACGTATGAACAAAGGAATTGAGAATCTAAATAAATGAAAAAACTGGTTTCATATAACTATAGTTGTACAGCTGCATTTTATCTCTTTCCGGAACATCAATATGTAAATGTCACTAAGTTTGCCTCTCCTTCCCCTAAACTTTGACATCGGAATTTGCAAATGACTTTCCAAGGTAAACAGCTGTTGATTATCATTAGCTCTTTGCTAATGTAAGAGAATTTACTTTCAAGTGTCAAATGTAACACGTTCCATGCACTTCACTTACACAATTCCGAACGTGGATTAGCAATGAATCACCAACCAATCAAATATTCATTGCACGGCACAAAACTAGCCATCGATAGACAACAAGCTGGGTCGGTCATGATGTCATTGGCTTAACTTTGTTTTTTTACTTTAACGAATGAAAAAAAAGAAATAACGAATAAGTAATAAATCTTTAAATGATAATTACACATTTACAAGTGGCAACTCATACATCAGCCACAAAAATCACTTACTCACACTCTCTTTGCATCTCGCTCTCTCGTGAAAGGAAGGGAGTGAAAGTTGAAAGTACAAAAATGTAAAACAAATTTTTTTCTCTATTTTCTTCAACCCGTCCTTGACCCAATTCCAATGGAAGACATCACCCATGTCGTTGTTCTAGTCGTGCAATGTCAGCGCAATACTTTTGCCATAGATTGCTGGCACCGTTACACAGCGGGTGGTTTCCCTCTCTCTCTCGCTCTCTTGTTGTCTGCATGCTCATCTCTGTCATCATCATCATCACCATCAGAGGTTACCTCTACATATTTCCAAACACAAAAAATACTTTACAATAACAATAACCTCAAACTTTAATATCTACTCTCTTTCTGCCAAACCCATTATTTTCCTGTTTTAACACTTCCACCACTCCCACAAAAATAACATTTAACCCCAAAAGCATGGCTGGCTGGCTGGCGTCGCTTTTGGTTGGAGTCGGCGTCATAGTTTGGGGCGACACTATTCGTAATTTATAGGAAAAAAAAACTCTGTAATACTCTCCAACACCCTTTTAATAAAAAGCGTAACAATGTGCAGCGAACAACTACATGGCCACCAAAAAAGCTGCAATAACGCCAAAACGACGAAAAACCATAAAAAATCCTTCCTGGAGTGAGTCATCACTGTCATTCATATATAAAACCACACACAAAAAACAGCAACATCATAACCCAATAACAACAACATTAGCAATGCTGATGATGACGATGATATGATACCAACGATGTAAATATGAAGCAAAGAACACAATACCCTGTGTGGCACACAATCGGTGAGAGGAAGAGGAGAAATAGTGTGTGTTTGAGAGAGAGGGATTTAGCGCCAACTTTACAATTAACAGCAGCCAGTGGCAAAATGTATGTTGTGTTCTCTTCTCGGCAAGTTAATAAGAAAGGCATTTTCAGGGGTGAAATGAATGGATAGCAGGCTGGGCTGGCTAGCTGGCTGCTTGGATGAATGGTGGTCGTTGAAACAGCAGCTACATAAATGTTGTAAAACATCAACAAACAAACCGCAAAAATCTCAAAGCAACAACATATTTACTCACACCAATACACGGCCATTGTTTACACACAAGGAACAAAGGCAAATAAAGGAAAAGAGCAACGGTTTTCTAATTGAGTGGCACAGTGAGCTGAGCATAGGGTTGCCATTGATTAAAATAAGAACAAAAAACAAAAAATTAATTTAAAAAACAAAAATTTAAACAGATTAAAATTGTATAACGTGGTCATGGTAGAAGAATATAGGTAGATGCATCGGCACAGCTGCTGGGACAATGAACTGTCAAACCAATTTTGGAATTGAAAATGTTGAATGAAAAATTATTTAAATTTGTAAAAATTGTTGAAAAACGTGAATTATAATAGCCTCCGAATGACGTCGCATAAGAAAACATATAAATGATTGGAAGTCGAAGTACCAATGATTGGAAGTCGCGTACATTGCGGGACGCGCATTAGAGCTATTCGCCAGTTTTGCCATGTAATTGAAAGATCGAACTATTTAGATCGTATTTTTGAAAGAAAATCCAAGCATTTCATTTATTTTTCGCGCAGTTTAACTGATTTTAAAAATGAGGAAATTATTGAATAAATAAAAACAACTTGTTTGCATGCAAATTTGACAGGAAGTGGGCAAAGTTTCAGGGCTGTATTTCTGTAGTTTTACGAAGCTGTTCTACCTGCTTATTGTACCATGTAAAAAACTACTTATATTTGAAAAAATATTTAAAGTTTGTTGACATATCAATGTGATCTTGGATAAACATATCGCGCTATAAAGGGAGAATTCAATACTGGCGTCTTCGAAAAAGAACGAAGTAGCGTAGGGACAAAATCGAACTAAGTCAACCTAAAACTCCTTTGTTCCTCTATGAAGAGCCAGTTAATGACTTAAGCCAGTCAAAGAAGCGTTTTATGTAGTCTCACCTTAAGCATTATTGAAGTATTAAATGATAGGCTAAAATTGGTTATCTACAATCATACAGGGTGAGATAAAAAAACTGCAACAAAGTCAAACGACATAATTTTTACATTTTTTAAATTTTATTGAATGAAAGCAAAAATTGTCGAAAATAGCATCAAATTTTAGAATAAGTTTAGATTTGTTCGAATGGGTCACATTTGTCACGAATTATGGCCTTCAAACGGGCATTCCCGGTGAAGCGTTCCTCTATGAATTTAATTTTCAACAAAAAAAATTTTTTTGGTTAATCAAAATGCATCGGAACCTGGTACAAATGAAATCTTCTTACTTAAGGTGCTATCGGACGTAATGCGTTTTACATATGAGTTCACTTTTATTATCCGTTTGTTTTTTTTATTTCCTTTGAAATTATGGCAACCCTATGGCTATTAAGCGGAAGACAATAGAACCATTTTTCATTGTTTTTCCAGTGTTGTACATTAAGTGGGGTGGTTGTTAGATTGATTGATGATATGATGATATGGCTTTCATTTCCAAGCAAAAAAGGCAAATGTGCGTCTATGGCACACACTCGCTCTCTCTCTCTCTTGGTCTCTCTTTTTCCATGCATATTATCACTCTGAGCAGTCAGGCTCTCTGACTAATAATTTTCTAATAGTTTACAAATGTTCCAAGTATTTTCCATGGCAGAGAAATTGGCCAAGTGTGGTGAGCACACAATCGATATTTATATTGGGAGAGAGAGAGAGAGAAAAGTTAGCCTTTGCATATTTGCATTTAAAAAATACACACACACACCCAAAAACAACAATTGAGGCGCTTTTGAATGAATTCGTTTCTGTTGGATGGTTGTTTGAAGTGTGCAAACCAAACCGGAAAATATGTAGAACCCTGTTGTGAGAGCAAAACAAAGACAACGACAACAACAACAACGACAGCAATAAAAAATCCGCGCCACCAATGTTTTTTGTTTCTTTGGCTCTGTGGCCAAGCAAATGTATTACCACACATCAGTTTGTATTTATGTCAAGTCCAGCGTGGTTCACATTTAATCCACACACACCGTACAAGAGAAGAAGCAACAGAATTTAGAAATAAAAAAGAAAGAAAAAAATTACAAAAAATACCTAAATCCTCTCTAACGTACCAACCAACAACCCAACAATATTCGACTAGACACAAGTGGAGGACAACGCACGGCTGGCCATTCCAAAAAAACAGAAACAACATTGCTTCAAAAAAAATTCAAGAAACTATAAATAATTCAAATTTCAAATAGTATTGTGCAAAAACGCAAGGAAAGAGACAACACCGAAAAAAAATTCAAAACAACTGGAAAATATTAAAAAAATAAATAAAACAAAGTTTTTAAGTGACAAATTTAAAGAAAAAATAAATAAAAAAATGCATTTCCACAAAGTGAATACCTTGCTATTGCCTCTGCTCTTCATTGTGGGCTTGGTGATAATTTCAGGTAAAAATATAAAAAAATAATTGAAATTATTAATTTATTAAATTTCTTAATCTTATTTAGTTGTTTTTTTTTTTTCTTGAAAAGGATTACAACAATATTAAGATTAATAATAATTAATTAATGTGAGATTATTTGTGTGTCAGTGTGTGTGTGTACAAGTGCCTGCGTGCGTGCTGTCTTTCAATTATTAATGGAAAATCTTTGTCAAGAATTTTTATTTCATATTTTTTTTTTTCGGAAAAAGGGGTGTTTTCCCTAACAACAAAAACATTAGAATTCACATAGAGACACACCACCGCCATTAACATTGCCACCATAATACCCGTCACCGTCAGCCAGCCATTCATTCAGCACCACCACCACACCATCCATCCATCCACTACTCATAATAACAAGAACAACAACAACACCAGCAAAAGCATAAACATAGGATAGGCTTTTCTTGTTTTTTTTTTTTTTTTTTTGTTGGGTTGGTTGGTATACTGGTCTATGGATTTTGGCACTGGGAGATGGCGCTATGGAAATACGTATAACAATTATTCGATTTTCTGGTTGCATGATTACACTACTTGACAATAATTATGAACAACAAATGCTGCTGGTTGTTTGATTGGACATTTTCAATGTAGAAGTTTTGTATACAGGAATTCTGGAAGGATTATGACAAAAAGGAACTAAAATTGAATCGAAAGTTATTATTTTTATCGATAAAGTCGTCATATGCATAGAATTAGTTAAGAGAATTGCAAAAAAAGGACAATGACCTATTTAAAAAATGAAGCATATTTTTAGGCTAAACTGACGTTATTACACCATGTTCACATGAAACCCGATTTCTTACGCTAACAATAATTGTAAATTCCTTTTAAGAATTTATGGCACAGGCGTGGATTTTTTTTGCATAAAATTGCATCATAATAATCATGATTTTTCGACAAAAAAATATTAGACCAAAATTTTTTTCGACCAAAAAAAAATCCGACCAAATTTTTTTTTTCGACCAAAAATATTTTTCGAAAGAAAAATTAGAACAAAATTATTTTTCGACCAAAAACAAAAAAAAAAAAATACAAGAATACAAAAAATTGCCCTCAAGTTATAATTTGTCACATAAAACATTGCCGACCAATTTTTGTGACAAAAGAATTTTTTTTTTTCAAAAGCAAGGATAATACCATGGTATAATAAAAAAGGTAGTCATTTCAAATAAGCATATCCATCTCTGCATTTTCGGTAATTTACCTTGTCAAATTTTAATGCAAAGAAATATGGTTCCCATCTCCGATTTGTGTAAAATAAAACTTATGTTGTCAAATTAATAATTTTGAAAGAAAAATGTAAAGACATGATAGATTTTACCTTTTTAATTCTACCATGGATAGTAAACTGACGTTATTACACCCTGTTTACCTGAAATCCGATTGCTTATGCTCACAAAAATTGCAAATTCCTTTTAGGACAGGCGTGGATGTTTTTTTTTTTTTTGCAAAAAATTGCACCTGATAATCATGACTTTTCGACCAAAAAAAAAAATATTTTTTCGACCACAAAATTAGACCAAAATTTTTTTTTTCGAAAAAAAAAATTATACCAAAATTATTTTTCTACCAAAAAAAAAAAAAAAACTACAAGAATACAAAAAATTTTCCTCAAGTTATAATTTGTCACATAAAACAATGTCGACCAATTTTTGTGACAAAAAACTGTTTTCAAAAGCAATGATAATGGTAAAATTAAAAAGGTAGTCATTTCAAATAAGCATATCCATTTCTGCATTTTCTGTAATTTACCTTGTCAAATTTTAGTCCATCTCTAATTTCTGAATATACAATGGATTTATAAATAAAACTTATGTTTTCAAATTAATAATTTAAAAAAAAAAAAAAAAAAATTAAACATATGATTGCATGACTTTACCTTTTTAATTCTGCCATGGATAATAGTATGTTTAGATTAGACCCTTTTGCCAGTTAGCCTTCTTTATGAGGATTTATTTGACGCATATGGAAATGGCAAATTAAATCCAATAGTTTTACTAAATCCGGTCAAATGTAAACATACTATAAGAAATCAAACGTAAATTAATTTTTCAAAAAAGTTACTAAAGGTGAGAATACATAAAAACGCTTTTTTGACTGACTTAAGTCATCTAACTAACTTCATCGGAAAAAAGCAAAGGATCTTGGGGCAAAAATCGAACTAAGTCAACCTTGCCTCCTTTTCCTCCACGAAGAAGCCAGCTGATGACTTAAGCCTGCCAAAAAAGCGTTTTATGTATTCTCACCTTTATAAATTGATAATAAGGTATAAAATATTTTCTAAATCAAAAAATTCGACCAAATTTTTTTTTCACCCATAGAAGGAAAGCATAGCAGGGAAATATTAACTAAAATCGAAAAAAAAACACCCGATTGATAAAAGATATACCAGCGTTTACATAAACCGATTCCAAGAGAGAATAACAAAAGCGACTAGGGCCTCAATTCTTGTTCTATGAAAATGTGAAATAAAAACTTTTAAAAATCAAAGAAGTGTCAAATGAAAAATGTTATAAAGGAAATATATTTCATAGAACAAGAATCCAGCCCCAGTTTTCATTTTATAATTAAATTTAATTTGGGAGAGGATTTGAGATCATTTTTAAATAAAAATTTAGGCTTATATAAACCGATCACATCTAATTTTGTAAAAAAATGCTATTTGAAATCGTACCACAATATTTCTCGTAAAACATGGCAAAATTCATATTCTGCCATTTCATCTAATAAACCTTAAACGTTTTCTTTGGATTTTTCTAAGAGCTTCCTTTAGATTTCATTGGCAGGAAAGTCTTGTAGGTCTATGTAGTTCGATTATTGGTCATTAAATGCTATGTGTAAATGCGGGGTCGACACAGCTGCTGGGACAATTAACTGTCAAATCGATTTTGGAATTGAAAATATTAAATGAAAAATTATTGAAATTTGTAAACAATTTTGAAAAATACATAACAATTCTCGATTTGCGTCGTATAAGAAAACATGAAAATCTACTTGTTTATGTTAAAACATTTAAAAATTTTTAAATATCAATGTTCCCAGGCGTACCTGTATTCTTGTACCATGGTTGAGAGCTTCTTTTGGATTTCATCGAGAGAAATGTCTTTTGTAGGTCTATGTAGCTCGATTATTGGCGATTAGAGACTAGGATTTGTGCATGGTAGAAGAATACAGGTAGATGCATCAACGTTTGGGAAAATTGATATGGCAAATTTTTTTAAATATTTCTTAAAAAATAAATATATTTATATATGTTTTCCTACACGACGCCAATCGGAGATTGTTATTATATGAATTTTTTTAACAATTTTTACAAACTTGAGTAATTTTTCATTCAAATATTTCGATTCCAAAATTGGTTTGACAGTTCATTGTCCCAGCAGCTGTGTCGATGCGACTACTTGTATTCTTCTACGTGAACGTGGACGTGAAGTCTTTTGTAGGTCTATGTAGTTCGATTATTGCTGATTAGAGACTAGATTTTGTGTTTCGTTCCGCTTCCATTTGACGTAAGGTATATTATAGGTCTATGTAGTTCGATTATTGGTGATTAGAAGAAACTTACATTTATTCTGCGTTTTCTTCGGATTTGACTTTAATTGGACTCACTTTTCTATTATTTTTACAAACGCTGTTATTTTTATTGAATTTTTTTTTGACTGTGGCATTATATTCATAAAATCGTAAAATTTTTTTTTTCATAAAATACTCCAAAAATAGAATGCTTTGTAGTCTTTCCATATCTCATTTCAAGTGATAATTTTCTGCATTTAACTTTTCAAATTTAATGACATGTTTATGTTAGAGTCAGGTTCCCATGGCGCAATACAAATTATAACACCAATCAAATGGAATGTCAAAATTGCTGGTTATACTCATGGTAGAATTAAGAAGGTAAAGTCATGCTATCAATTTTTTTTTCCAAATAATCACTTTGACAACCTATCATTGTCAAAATGTTTATTTATAAATCCATTGTACATATAAAAATCAGAGATGGAATCCTGCTTTCTATGAAGTGAAAATTTGACAAGGTAAATTACAGAAAATGCAAAGATGGGAATGCTTATTTGAAATGACTTTACCTTCTTCATTTTTACCATGGATATACTATTTGTTTTACATTCGTACTCTGATTCCAATCACAATAAGGGTTTTGACAACTCATCTAGATAATCAGCTGCAGTAAATCTAGCATGATAGAAGAATATAGGTAGACGCGTCGACACATCTGCTGGGACAGTGAACTGTCAAACCAATTTTGGAATTGAAAATGTTCAATGAAAAATTATTTAAATTTGTAAAAATTGTTGAAAAACACGTATTATAATAACCTCCGAATGACGTCGTATAAGAAAACATATAAAAATCTACTTATATTTGAAACGACATTTAAAAATTTTTGACATATCAATGTTCCGAAGCGTTGATGCATCTACCTGTTAAATGTGAATTCCATTGCGAGTGTGTCAAATCCAATATCCAGTGGATTTGACATTAAATCTGCTTTTGAATAAAACCTCCCCATTTAGAATGTCAGTTCCTATAATTATACTTATAAAATATTGTATATCTTTGTAAAACGCCCAATTTAGCTGTCAAATTATTTTAGAGTTTTAATGGCCACTGTCTCTGAATTGCATATAAGGAATAATAACTAGCTAAACAAAATTAATCAATAAAATATTATGACATTTTATTTGTGGCCAATTTTGGCAAAAAAAATATTTTTTGTCGTTTTTTTGATTTAATTTTCAAACTTTTAAAGTTCAAATAGCAACAACCACAAAGTACATAAAAAGAACACTTTTTTTGCTTCCTTTTCCCATATTCACACACACACATAACTTTTTTATTGTAAATTGTTGCTGTTTTGTTGTTGCTTTTCAATCAATTGAACCAAAACAAAGTAATTTTTATGCGAGCCAGCCAGTGAGAGAGTGGTGAAGAAGGAAACCCAGA